AGTGTGGACAGGAGCTGGAACCAGCACATCCTTAATGGCTCAGCACTGCCCATGGGCACCCTCCTGCTCTCACCCGGGCAGGGGCTCTCCAAGAGCATCACCTGCTGCTCACACAGCAATTCCTGAGCACAGAACGAGAGACACGGGACTCACAATCCTGCCTAGTCAGGTCACCAAGCTTTTTAAATTCAGCTGGAAGCCAGGACAGTCACCCTGTGCCAACTGCTGGCCATGAAGGTGTTGTGCCAGGCCGGCAGAGAAGCACCCTGGGGAAGAGGTGATGCACAGCTGCCCCTTTTTAGCTCTTTGTGCAAGAAATCTGCCAGCAGAGGAAGCGTGTGGAGCTGCCAGGAAATCCCTGCAGAGCTCCGAGCTAACGAACAAGCTGCCAGGAGAAAGGTCAGCTGGAAACTACAGCCAGCTCCCTGCATGGGTTCAGCTCAGGTACAAGGAGGATTTTAAAGGGAATGAACGAACCCCAAAAGTCTACCTTTGCATGTACAGGGCAAGGGCTGTGTGTGCAGCTGGAGACACAGGGAAGAAACAGCCTCGTGGGGGTGCAGGGGACACAATGAACCTGCTCCTCTAAGGACAGAGCTGCTAAGGGAGGGGGAGAGGAGCAGGAGGCTCCACGGAGCTGAATCACTCCATTATACTGGATCAAGAGAAGCATCTCTGTGTCTGAGAGTGGTGGGTACAAGCAGTGCTATTCTGTGCTCGCTGCCACTTGATCTCCTGTGCTGCTGACACCTACAGAAACCCAACAGCCCCCACTCTGCTTGCATTTCTTTGTATAGAGACCCCTCCGAAAAAAAAGAAAAAAAAAAAAAACAGCACCAGGGAGCAGTCAAAGCCCAAGTGGGAAAAGCAAATCCCCATCTCAGCCTCTCCTCAAAGGAGGCAAACAAGGAGCCTCCCTGAGCAGCCCCTGTGGGCTCAGTGACCTCTGTGGCACTGCACTGTGCTCTCAGCAAACAGAGCAGCGAGAGGCTCTGGAGCAGCTGGCACGCTCTGCACTTCCCAGCAGCTTTTATGTAAAGAGCCCGAGTTCATTAAACCGTTGGCCTGTGTGTGACTGCCAAGGCTGCAGCACAATCCACAGCTCCTCACGGGTGCCTGCTGCCTCCAGCTCCTGCTCAGCTCCAGAGGCTTTCCCAGAGCAGGGAGGGCGTGCTGCTCCAGTGGGGACAAGCACCGGGTGGGCACTGAGGGGAGCAGGGCCCTCTGCAGCAAAACACTGATCACCACCCTGCCGATGCTCCAGGGGCACAGCCACCCTGGGTGCTGCTCCAAGGCAGGGGCGAGGTGGGAAAGTGCCTTAAATAAGTGCCTTACATTGCAAAGTGGGCATCTGGGTTATTTCAGGGCCTGCCTCCCTGCTCATGCGATGTACAGCCCTAAAACAACCCCAAACCGCTGAGTAAGGCAAGCAACGGCTGCAGCCGCTTAGGACAAGCTGCCCCCTCACTCACTGCAATGCAACGGTGCGTGGGAGGAGAAGTGTGGAGTCTCTCTTACAGACACTTGAAGAGCAATCGAAAAGCCTCAATAGTTTGGCAAACCTGTTCTCCCCTTCCCCCCGAGTGTCCTCAAAGAGCACTGATCGCTGTTTCCCGAGCCCATTGCTCAGGATGTGGGAAGGCAAAGCAGGGGGCGGGTGGTTTTTCAGGCTCAGCCTGTCCCGGAACCACCTCCCCAGCACTGCGGTGGCACCGCTGGAGCACCAGCCACTCACCAGGGACTGGCAAGACGGAGCCCCGTCGGCTGTGCGGCCTTGGGGACCTCTGGGATCCTTCCTCAAGCCGAGCCAACACTACCAGGCTGGATGAACCCTCTGCGAGAGATCCGGGGATGGTGCCAATGGACAGCCTGGCATCCCCCCCTCTGCCCCAGGGCACAGCCTGGCTGCCAGCTCCCCCTAGCAGAGACACGCTGCTCCCCCTGCCTTTTTGGTTTTTTAATGCACTCCTCCGAAAAGAAGAGATAGTGGGGGAAAGGCGGGAACAGAAGAGTCCTGTGAGGCAGAAGCAAATTCCTCCCCTCCCTCCGTTCATTTCCACCTGTGCTGCTGGGCGGGGACACCCCCTGTGCCGATCGCTGGGGCAGCAGGGCAGGAAGGGCCTCCCGCGGTCCTGCCCTCCCTCCTGCAGTTTGCTTTCCACGGCTGGGGGAGGAGGGGTGGGCACGGCCAGCCCTCACCTGGAGGAGCAGCTATGGATTCACCCTGGGGTGTTCTGCGTGGTTTTTTACACACCCGGCAGGGCCATACCCGATGCCGCTGCAGTGACCTTGGCTTGCGGTGCTCTGTCACTGGTGGCTGTCGATCCCGGCCAGGGAAAAAGTCGTGTGCTGGCAGTGTGGGCCAGCCCCTTTGGAAGTCTCCTTGGAAACGTTTCCCACACCCTTAACTCACCCACACCCTGGCCCCTGCCATCACCCAGCAGCGAGCTCACCACTCCAAGAGCCAGGAGTCCAGCTGGGGGTCAGCCCTGCAAGGAGCCCCCCATGAGATGAGGGGCATCATGTCTGCCTGAAGCTCCTCCGTGCTCTCTTCAGGAAAGGCCAGGACAGCTGGGAGCTATTCCTGGAAAGCCTAAAAACGCCATGACTGAGTCAGCACTGAGGCTCCCCCAGCAAACCCCCTGCCACTGCCCCACTGCCAGGAGGCCACAGACAGACAGACAGACAGGCACACACAGAGGCAGGGACACAGAGCAGCAGCCCAGCTCCCCTCTGCTGTGCCAGCCCAGCCACGCATCACTGTCAGGGTGAGGGCTGTGACAGCACAGTTATCTGTGTCCCTGTGCCGCAGGCTGGAGCTGTGCCAGCCCCCAGGGCTTTTGTTCCCACATCCGAGGGAGCCAGCGCAGCAATTGCCAGGGGCAGCTTCAAAGTCATCACTGCTGGTAGACTTGGGGTCAAAGGCAGTGCCAACACCACCCCCTCCCATCCTCATCCCATCCAGTCCTCACAGAGGCCCAGCAGTCCTGCCTGGAGACAGACACGGCACAAACACTGCCCGTCCAGGACAGTTCCTGGGCACGAAGGGCAAATCGCCAGGAGCATGGCCCTTGGCTGCATTCCCACACATGGGGACAGCCTGCCCTCTCCCTGTCTGCTTCCCTGGAGCTGGGAATCAGCAGCTGAGAGCTCCAGCAGTTGTGTCCACTGGGAAGGGCAGAGGTCAGTGACTGTGAGTACCCAGCAGGCTGTTCCAGACCCACTGCTGGTACCAGGGCCAGGCTTTGCCCATAACCACACTGCAGCTCTGCAAGGCAGGACAGCAGTGACACCATAACACACCTCAGCTCCTGAGCAGGGACAGATTTCCGCTTCAGTTCATTGCACCTCAGACAAGTCAGGCACTGCCAGCAGCCCAGCCCTGCCACCCACTCAAGGCTGGCAGAGTGTGTGACACCAGCAGGTGACAGACAGCAACACTGCACTGGGCAGCACACAAGAGTCTGGGTCCCAGAAAAATCAAGAGCCAAAACACCAGGGTTTTCCATGAACAGTTTAAGAACTGGGAACACCAAATTTTGGCTGTCTTTGGGATTCGGGCCTTCCAAGTTGACACTTCAGAGCCATGAAAATGCATAGTCAGCAATGCATTTCCTCCCCATCCTTCCCAGTTCACAGTGGTCCAAATTGTCAAGGGGATGGCTCCCAAGGGCAGCCTCACAAGAACTGGCTGCCAAAGCACCTACCAAAGTCTCCCAGAGGCTGCAAACCCAGTGAATAGCACCTTCCCACTCCAGCCTGGCTTGTGCCACTGCTCAGCTTTACCAAGACAGAACCAGCCACAAGATCACAGCTCTCTCTTGAATCACTAAATACCAGAAGCAAAAGGTGCATTTTTCAGCTGCAGGTTTAAACCTCTCCAGGAGTCCACACTCATTTGCAGCCTCCAGCCCCCATCTCATCTAAACTCAGTAGTCTGCAGCACCTCATCAAGGGATTTTGTCACCCTGACATTCATGGCCGGGCTCTGTGCTCAGCCCTAAATCCACACTCAGGCAGGAATGTTTCCCACTGCCCTCCCAGACAGTTTACCTCCCCCTGCAGCCCCCACTGGGCCGTGAGCCAAGAGGTGAGCCAGCCAGCTGTCTGCCTGTCCAGGGACCTGGAGCAAGCAGCCCTCTCTCCAGTTGCTGTGGGGATGTCAGTCTCCCCTCCGTGCTAAAAACTCTGCTTGCAAAATTGCTGAGCCAACAGAAACTGCCACTTCACTTTTAACCCATTTCCTGTTATCAGATAAAACAGTATCAGGGGGCTGAGCTCCTGCTATCCCGGGCTTTGCCACCTTACTGTTACAGCCACTGCCTTCAGCAGGTGAATACTGGCACTGCTTGATTTCAACAGGAGCCAGGGCACAGCATGAATTATTTGTGGTAAGGCTGACCTATTTAACAGCAGAAAGACAGCATTCATTCGGGCCCAGATCCCCCCAGAGGCTGCTGGTGTCACTTTACCCCACAGATAATGCAACCCTGTCACCAACTCTGGGCATGTCACTCGTGGGTGGTGCAGGGGGTAACCGTCCCAGGCTGATCCTGCCGTGCTCCCAGTGCTTCTCTTGGAGCACAAGTGACACCTCCAAAGCCCTTTCAGACTGCTTCTGGCTTCCTCTGACCAGCTTTGAGCAGCGTTTTGTGACCACCATGGTCAACACGTGCAGGAAGTGGGGCAGAGAGAACCCACAGGGCCTTGGGACAGCAGAGCAGTCGCTGCTGACAGCTCTGCTTCGGGTAGATCAGGGCCAGAGGATGCCAGCAGAGCGTGCAGGGTGCCTGCCAAGTTCTGCAGCTATTGAGGATGCTTCTCTGCACAGCTCCTACTAAGCTCTTGTAGTCCCCAATATTGGCTCCCATCCCCTGTGCACAGGCCAAGGCAGCCTGTGAAGGGGTATCTCACGTGGAGAGGATGCTGAGGTCTGGGTGATACGTCTCTGTAAACCATCTCAGAAGCACAGATCTCCCCCAGGGCTCTCTGGACCGTACCTTTGTCTGCCAGGGACAGGGTGCTGTTGAAGTATTGCTCCTCCACGGTCCAGGCTGTGTCGTTGATCTTGTTGGACACCCCACAGGACCCAACGCAGCTCACCTTGATGGCTGTGGAGAGACAGCACACACATAAGCACTGGGAGAAGGCAAAACCTCGGGTCCAGACCTGCTGCAGGTACTGCACATGGCCCTGTGCCTTGTGAAAACACACACGGGGTGCGAAAATGGAGCAGTGGAATCAGGTCAGCTTTCATTTCAAAATCATATTTTCCCCCTACTCCCAGCACTGCTGAGCTACCCTACTGCTATTCCCAGATATGATCACCTTTGAAGTCCTCGAGCTGGCTTCCTTGCACTGTGGAAGCCCTTACCAGCAGTGATTCCAGCTCCCTGAGAGGTGAACCTCTCACTAGTTTTCCCCCAAAAGCAGCTGTATCCTCTCCCAATTCATGGAGCAGCCTTGGCACTCTGGCTGTCAGAGAGACCTCGGTGGCAGAGGCTGTTCCTTGACCTTGCTGCTCTCCTATACACTGCCCCCCACCCCACAAGGAGCCTGATGTCCCACTGCCCCTGGGAGCAGAGACATGTTCTGCACAAGCCCATTAACCAGCTAAACAAGGTGTGCAGCCCTGCCTGAAGCAGCAGCAGAAAGCTGAACCCCCCCAGTGCAGTGGGTTCTTTGCTGCTTGAGTTCACAGCCCTGCCAGCCTCAGAGGACATCTGCACCCCTGGGAGCCTGTCCCATGTCCCAGGGTCAGTCTCCGCTTCAAAGGGTTGCAGTAAAAGCACTTTGTCCTGCATCAGGACCTCCAAAATGTTGCTTCCCAGCAGCCAGACACCACTGCCAGGGACACAGGGCTCAGCAAAGCCACACAGCACAGTCTGGAGGCATCAGAGATGCCACCTGACCCTCCCAAAGCAAGGACAGTAATTTGAGCTCTGTTCGTGCCTTGCCTGGAGAAAGTCACCCCTGAGCTCAGCCCGGCTCAGAGGAGCCACGTGGCTCTCCGAGGAGCTCCCCACAGACATTTGCAGTTAGTCTTGGCCAACACTCAGCAGGTTGAAATTAAGCTCTGGTGTCGACACTGGACCACAGAGACAGACAAACGTGACAGACTGGCCGTGCTGCACAGCAGGAGACCTGCAGTGCTACCCCCACACAGGGGGGGACACAGGCAGGCCTACAGTGCCACAAACAGAGCCCTTGGGGCTGTCTCCCATCCCAAATCCCTCCAGGTTTTGCAAGACATTTAATGGGCCCGCAGAACTCCCTCACCCCATTTGCCAGGTGCATGGTTCTGCTGGCAGGAAGGTGGCAGGAACCACCAGGCAGACTCGGTGCCCATTTCACCCATCTGTTCCCGGTATTCAAGCCACGGCCACAGGAAGCATCTCCCTGGGAAGCAGGTGGCCAGTCTGCCTTGGATTAAGAGCTCTCCTATCCCCTCCACAAGCATTCTCAGCCCTGCCAATACCACCACCTCCACTCACCAACCCAAACACCAAGTGATGCTGCCTGCAACCACCTCAGCCAGCTGTCCAGAGCACCTGCCTGGCCAGTGTGACCTTGTCTTCCTTGCTGACACAGGACAGTGTGGAAAGAACCCCAAACCCAGCCCTCTCTGCAGGGGGAACGCAGAGTTCTCACCCCAGTCCTGGCAAGGGTGGGTGCTCTGCTATGTGCAGTCAGGTGGAATGAGCTCCTCAGGGCTTAAAGTCTCTAATCCCACAAGGAAGAAGAGCCTCCTCCATCACACCTCCTGCCATACCCCCACAGCTCATCACGACTGAGATGAAGAGCCTATTGCAGTCCAAGTGTTGTTTTGTACTCAAGGACAAAGGATAAGCAGCTCCAGATGCCAACTCTCATTAACCAAACACAAATACAGCACCAAGGCTGACACATCTCTCGCTTGTTCGTGTCTGTGATGTGTGTTGGCATTTCCAAGGCAGGGCAAGAACAGGAGAGCACGGCCTGCAACAGGAGCTGCCACCCCACAGCACCCCTGGGCTGAGCCCTCCCAAGGTGAACCAGCACAGCAAAGCCCTGGCACACCTCCAGGGGACATCCAATTCTCTCTTTTGCAGGATGGCAAAGCCAAAACCACGGAGGGGTCTCAGCATCAGGAGTTACAGAATGTGCTGAGTTAGAGGGGACACACAAGGATCATGGAGTCCAACCCTCAGCCCTGCACAGGACTATTCCCAAGGGTCACCCCCTGTGCCCCAGAGGATCATCCAAACCCTCCTGGAGCTCTGGCAGCCTTGGGGCTGTGCCCACTGCCCTGGGGAGCCTGTTCAGTGCCAACCACCCTCTGGGGGAAGAACCTTTCCCTGAGATCCACCCTGAGCCTGCCCTGACACAGCTCCAGCCATTCCCTGGGGGCTGTCCCTGCTCCCCCCAGAGCAGAGCTCAGTCCTGCCCCTCCTCTGCCCCTGCCCAGGCAGTTGGAACTGCAATGAGCTCTCCCCTC